ACTCAGTGGGACCGAATTTGGGAAATAGAGATTTTAAAGGTCTACGTAACTTTGCCGAACAACTCCAATGTGCTACCAAAAGATTACAGGGGGACTATGAACGCGAAGCAAGCACAACTGCGAATATGAAGTTCATCACCGGACGACTGCCCGACTACTTGATCAACAAGTGGGCTGATGTATCGTTTCCATCAGAGAAAAGGGACAGAATCCAGGCCTGGAAGATCTAACCAAGGAAAAAGTGCGCTGGCCAGTAGCCGTTCTATATAGCGGAATCTGCAAAGAGTTCCGCGTACGAGTGTTACGAGTATGTATACTTGATCGCTAGGTAAACTTACTCGTTACGTATTGAGGCGCAAGACCGTTCTGACATTTAAAGGTCAGAACGGAGTCTCAGATTAGGCTGACCCCCTATGAACCACCATTTACTTTTTCCGGTGTTGACTATTTTGGCCCCTTTTACGTGAAGAGAGGAAGAGAAAAAGTTGCAGAGAAGCGATGGGGCCCCATCTTTGTGGGTATGAACTCTCGAGCCGTGCATCTCGAGGTTGCTAGGTCCTTCGAAACAGATGACTTCATTTTGCTGCTGATGAGATTACTAAACCGAAGAAGGGGACATGTGAAGGAGCTTCGCTCCGATAATGGATCGAACTTTGTTGGGGCTGACCGGGAGATTAAAGAGGCTATTGATAAAATCGACAATGAGAAAGTGGGTAGAGAGTTGTCACAGAGTGGCTGTAAGTGGGTGTTTCACCCTGCAGTGGCATCACACATGTCAGGAGTTTGGGAAATACTTGTGAAAACTGTAAAGAGGAGCCTGAAGGCTATCCTTGGAAAATACCTTATCAACGAAGAAGTACTCCAAACAGTGTTTACGGAAGATGAACGAATTACTAACTCCAGACCATTGACAAGAAATTCATCAAACTTGAATGACGACGAACCTCTCACACCCAGCCATTTCTTAAACATCCGTCCCACAGTGAATCTACCCCCAGAAATGGTTGATGACAGTGACAAGTTTAGTGAAAGCGATTGCGCCAGGCACAGCTACTGGCTAACCATTATTGGAAGCGTTGGCTCAGGGAGTACATCCCCTCACTACAAGAACGTCAGAAGTGGCACAAAGCCCGAAGGAACTTGAAAATTAGAGAGTTGAGAATTGGACCCGACGGACTGGTTAGGAGTCCAGAAGTGAGGACCAAAGGGTCAACATACCGAAGGCCAATCACCAAGATTTGTTTGCTGGAAGAATCAGACTCTGGAGAAGCTTAGTAAACTGAAAGTCTAAGAGACAAAACGATTGACTATGAACTGGCCCTAAAACATGAGCCTTCATGGGGGGCGGAATGTTGTTACCTTTTTGTTTAACATTTACAAAAGAAAAAGGGGAATTTCTTGTTTTTAGTGTTGGAAGGCCTGTGCCTCCCATAAGGCATAGCGAGCGAGGAGAAAACACGTGGAACGTTTTGTTTTTTGAGTCGGACATGTTGGTTGTTGAAGTTTTCAGTTAGCGTTGTTGCGGATTCCAAAAGCTCATACATTCGAATCATAAAATTGATCTCGATTGTGAGCTAAGAAATAAAGTGTGAAACTAGCGACTACAGATGGGTGGGAGGCAGTAGCCATAAAAAGTGATTATAACTGTCAACATCAAAAGGAGCAAAACTTAGATTGAGAATGACTACGTTTTCAACAGGATTTTTTCTTTGGTGTGTGTAAACAGCAAAACAAATCCGGTGTCCGGTGTTGGACCCCTCGATCCAATTCCATTAGCAGGTATGGACCCAGCCCCCCTCCCACCCCCGGTCA